CCAGAGGGTTGGGTTGGGTTTGAGTTTTTCAAACCCAACGGTTTTACCCCGGGTTTTTTTTGCGGAAAACCCATAGGTTTGGGTTTGGGTTTGGGTTTGACAAAACCCGCCCCAACCCGCCCCATTGCCATCCCTACCTGGAGGGAATAGAGTTTTTTATTTTACTCATTTTGTTAAGTTATATAAAACATGAATAAAAATTAGATTTAAAAATTCCACATCAGATTACATATTAAGGTTGACTAGACTTTCTGTTAAAAATTAACGGTTAAAGAAGGTCAACTTTAACTGCAAAATAGTTCAGGATATAAATGAAATATTAAATAGTTTGGGATACAAATGAAATATTCATGATAATTCGGATTTTTCCGTACTAGCCCAATTTATAACTAACTATAAACCATTTTAAATTCATATAATCCATCACCAAAAGTTCTAGTAAATCATTTAAAATTTCACAAGATCATAAAAAATCAATTAAATTCGAATCAGTAATAAGGGGGACAATCAATAGTGAACTACGTGAAGCTCACAAGGAGGATAGTAAACAAATAAGAGCAAGAAGAAATAAAATTAATAATTAATATTGGATGGTCTTAGTTTGCACGTTTTGTAATTTTGTGGTTAAATTAGTGAACCAGTTAACTAGTCAAATCGGGGTAGTCATATAAGTTCGTGTTGAACTGTTAGAAACCGTCTGGTTCACCTCTAACCATTATAACAAATGGACCGACTCACTATTATAACTGATTTGACGATTCTACTGGTCCAGCCGCTAATTTGGTTAGGTTCTTCTAACCAAGCATGTAACACGCACGCCCGGAAGTAAAATTATACTGAAGAAACTTATTTTTCCATTTAACCCAGTTTGCTGCTTACCATTTATAAAGTAGGATTCTTGTTTTGTTTTTTCTAAGAAAGAAAAGCAGGGCATTTTAGTTTAACCTTACATCTTTATGAACTTTGACCTGCTACTTTAGTGTTGTTGCCCTTGCCCTTGCCCTTGTTGGGGAGACCCTCCTTGGTGGAGGTGGAGCCAACAGGAAGAGTATACCTCCCATGAATTTCATCTCTTTAGATTGATTTCTGGTGTCTAGTATGCTAGACTCTCTGGGGTTCAAAAGGAAAGGAAAAGGGCTAAACAGATATAAGCATATGAAATCTGAATGAAAGATTTACCTGTTCCCGAGGATAAAGCAAACAAAGATGTAAAGTCGACCATGTTTTCATTGTTAAACCTGTCGATTTGCGGCATGCTGTTGTTATGTACCATGATTAAATGGAAAAAATCTCAAGTTACACATGTTTTTAAAATAATTCTCAAAATACACACGTTATGAAAATAATTCCCAATCTACGCATGTTTGGGCCATCACCGCTGTCGACGAAGACAGTGATTGCATCACTGCTGTCGACAAAGACAGTGATTCCATCACTGCAGTACACGGCCGCGGTGAAGGCCTAACCTGCGTCGAAACTTTAAACAAACGTAACTTTGTGCTCGGTTATCCGATCGTAGCGAAATTTTTTTTGATTCCGCATAATTTTTCGAGATCTTGCAAGCCGCAAATTGCCGTAGGCGGTTTGGTCCTGCCTTCATCTCGAAAATATGTCATTTGCTACCCCGAACGAGCCTTTTTTCGATTTCGTCAAACTTTGAACGACCATAACTTTGTGATCCACAATCCGAAAATCATGAATTTTTTTTTGATTTCGCATAACTTTTTAAGGACTACAATATTTAGTAGGAGAGAATTTTCAAAAAATGAATTATTTATGGATATAAGGGGTTTTGGGAATAACTTTACCTTCCTTTTCAGGAATCCAAGTACATTCCGAAAATATGTCTATGATAAAAATTGTATTCCTTAAAAAGTTATGCGAAATAAAAAAAAATTCATGATTTTCAGATTGTGGAGCACAAAGTTATGGTCGTTCAAAGTTTGACGAAATCGAAAAAAGGCTCGTTCGGGGTAGCAAACGACATATTTTCGAGACGAAGGCGGGACCAAACCGCCTATGGAAATTTGCGGCTTGCAAGATCTTGAAAAATTATGCGGAATCAAAAAAAATTTTGCTACGATCGGATAACCGAGCACAAAGTTACGTTTGTTTAAAGTTTCGACGCAGGTTAGGCCTTCACCGCGGCCGTGTACTGCAGTGATGCAATCACTGTCTTTGTCGACAGCAGTGATGCAATCACTGTCTTTGTCGACAGCGGTGATGCAATCACTGTCTTCGTCGACAGCGGTGATGGCCCAAACATGCGTAGATTGGAAATTATTTTCATAACTTGTGTATTTTGAGAATTTTTTTTAAAAACATGTGTAGTGTAATTTAGGATTTTTTCCTCATTAAATACCATGACCAGCCACATATTTCTTCTTTTTCTTTTCTTTTAAGTGGAAATAGATGACAAACAAAGCTTGCCCCACAGCGACATAAACAAGTGATCTATTCAACCAAAACCTTTCTTCTTGTTCCTGTGGAATTCAACCAAAACTTTTTGGCTAAGCTCTTAAAAAGTTACTTTCGATTAAATTGGTTGGCATTACTCGTTAATGTTGTTGCCTTTCTTTTTTATCACATTAAGTAATGTTCATTATCCGTGATAACTTTATCATTTTATCTTTTTGGTACGGATGACAATTTCGACTTGACCTGTTTTATCTTATATGTTTGGCCTGTTTTGGAGCGGGCATGGGTATTTCCATCGACCTGACCTAACTAGCCCCATTCTCGACCAGTTCTTGTGTTACATATAATTTTAGTCAAATTATTTAGGATTTTTCTTTTATTACATCATATTGTAGCTATAACAAAGTTGTAAATTTATGATCCCACTGAATGACGTGGATAAAAGAGAAATTTTTTTCAAAACCCCTAAAAAACACAGACGGTGAGACTAAAAATCCAACCCAGAAACCCGCCCGATAACCACTGATCCTCCTCCGATCGACGCCTCCACCCCCAAATAACCCTACCCCAAACCCAGATTTCGATTCCAACCACAATCCCCAATCATTGCCTCCCTTTTACTCCGACAGCTTCTATGCAGTCGGCGCCATGGTGATACCTAGCTTGAATCTCAAAAAAAAAAGTTTGAATCTAACCAAATCGCCAACAGAGAAGACTGCAGCAGCGAGGTCTAACAGATAACGGTGTAAAGTTTGGTTGCTTTTTGGCTTATGTGGCAGGTGAGATGGCATCGATTCAACATTTCGTTAGTCAATTTAACGTCGTCTGACACGTCGTTATAGTTTCAGACGAAAGTGGATAGATTTGTCACACAAGCTTCCGATTTTTGGATATTTCGTGTATTTCGATAGTTGTGGATATATTTGTCACAAACCTGATAGTTGTGGATATACAACTGTATTTTGCCTAATTTTTTTTCTCTTTTAACCCACGTCATTTTGTGGGGTCAGAAACACGCCAACTAAGCATCCATCGTCTGTCCAGTCATCAAGTTAACTGACGGAGTTAACGGAGTGGACGGAAATGGATATTTCGTGTATTTCGATAGTTGTGGATATATTTGTCACAAACCTGATAATTGTGGATATACAGTTGTATTTTGCCCTTTTTCCCTTAATAGGGTTATAGTAGTTTTCCTTGTCTGGTTAACATAGGATTGAAGTTTTTTTTTTGCCTATTTAAAGGCCTCATTGTAGCTTGTAAAGATCGAAAATTAAACTTTGATATTTAATCCTAGTTCTTGAGTTGCTACTCGTAAATTAGCTCGTGTAATTGGTGGGTTCTAGTTGCTTTGAGTGTGTGCTTTGTATCAATAAAGTAATTCCCTTGATTGTTGGCAAGCTTCTACCTATATTGATCGAGTCTTTCTTCAAGTGTGGAATTGCACGTCAATCCCATTAAATCTCAAAGCCAAAAACTCTAGTTTTGGTGAGCTTGTGTGATATAAGTCGAGGCTCTAACTCGTGAACTTAAACAATCAGAGCGCAACAAAGATCGATTAGAAGCACAACGATCACAAAACGGATAACAACCCAAACCTAATCCACGCGTCGGGAAGAGGGCTAGGTATACAAATGACTATTCGGCTAGGATGATGAGCTAGCAGAAAACGCCGGGTTCTTCTTGCAGAATCAATTCCACGATCAAGAAACAAGATGAAGAGAAGTTGGTGTTTGAACAACCAATTCTAGGGTTTGATTTCTCAATAAAATTGTTGATTACCCTCTAAAAGACTTAGTTCAGCCCCTTATATAGGCTACAAAGGTTTTGGGCAAAAAATAATAACGAAACCCGAGTTTAGGTGTAAAAGTCACATAATCCGCAAAGGAAACGCAAAACTCGTCGACAGCAACTAGGGTGAAAACCCCGACCTCTCTCCTAAATCCCCGGTTGGGGAATAGGCCTTCTAGGTCGGGGAAAATCTCTAGAACCAATCCCGGTCTCCCCTTCAAATACCCGATCTGGTTTTGCACCTCCATGGCCGGAGAATTGGCCTAAAGCAGCCCCAACGCCTATGATCGTCACTTCTCGTCCCACAACAGCTCAAGCTCCTACGTCAAGCTTCTTTTGTGCAATTGGACTCTTCACTTCGCCTTCTCGAGCCTCTAAAGCCTTTATCTTCATACCACGATCATTGTATGCTCTTCGAACTCGATGGACGTCTTGTGAAGTGACTCGATTTGCATCATTGTGTTAATCGATCTTGTGTGGTTTAACTCCAAAGATCTCGAGCTAGAGATCAGATTAGTTCAGCTTGCGTAACTATTGGATCCACGGTGGTGTTCAAATCTCACTATTTGGCTGAGCTTGCGGCATCGCTTGAATCTTTATGTCGTTAGGCTCACAACCACGACCTTGTTTAAGTCGGAATATCATTGAGCCGTGGCATTGAACTCAGGACATGATTCACCTCTCGACTTTGGTGAACTCACTAGGTCATTGGACTTGCGATGTCGTTGAGCTCACGGCACCATCGAGCACCGTAATGTTGTTTAGCTCGCGGCATCGTGAACCTCGCCACACCGCAATAATGTTGTTTTAAGGTGAATTTATTCTTAGGTGTAAATAATATCATAGTGATGCATGGCACGAAGCATGATTTGCAAGTCAAAAGGTCAATTGGACCGTAGCTAGGCTTTGATGTGCTTTTGATGAATCGAAACTAAGATCTCACGATTGGTTTGCTTTTCTTTCTTCTCCCCACCAGTGGATCCCCATGGCGTCACAGGTTAATTCCATTCACAACTGCAGGAATGCCATTGACAAGCGGACTATTGACTGATGCTAGAGATCCCATTTGAACGCTTGAAGAAACTCAAACGCTACACCTCAACCTCTGGCAGTGTCCCGTGGTTATAATCTCAGAGGTCCAAGCCCTGAGTCATTTAAGAATACAAGTACAATCATTTAAATCACATATGAAGATAACAAATGCATGAACCTGATGCTTCGGAGCAACACTTAACCTCTTTGTCGTCTGTCAGGGATGGATGTAATGGGTGGTGATGGCATCGATATTGTCCTCGGCAGAGACCTTTTTTCGGTGATGTCGAGTACAACAGCATCCGAAGTGAGAAATGTCTTTGCCACTGATGCAGAATGCTCCAGACAACATCGTACCACCTGCTTTTCAGCTCACGTTTGGTTTGTCAAGAGTCCTATTGGGACCACTCATCCATGTTTGTAACAAAAAAAAGATCATATGAGTGCGCAAGGAAAGAAATCATGCCCATACCTTTGTTGGATCCATAATCCCTGCAGTTATCAAGTCCTCGTATCTGTTCTTTGCAGCATTATATCCATATCCTGGGTCATCATTTGACAGCACCTATAGAAATATAGTAATGTCATGTGCTGCTATTGAGTTTTGAAGTACTAAATTTAAAACTATGACAATGAGTTTCAGCGTGAATACCTGATTTATCACAACATTACCATTGACACCTGCATTGCTGGCTATTAATCTTATGGGATAGCTCAAAGCTCTTCGGAAGATTTCCGCACCAATCTAAACGTACCAAAAGCACATCAGAACTCGCCTTAACCAACTCCAGGAAGTACAACGACAATTGCGATGATATCAGGATACCTTCTGCTCGTCATTATCAAGATGTTCCTTAATCTCATCAACCTTCGTAGCTAGCCTCAAAAGGCTGCAGCCACCACCAACCACCACACCCTCTTCAATTGCAGCCTGCGATTACTCAGCCCAGGAACTCACATCTTATGATTCTATTCTTTTCTTTTTGGGACTGAGCTCAGTTCCGTATGATTTGGTATGGGAAACTTGGTAAATTTTAAAATAGACAAATTTTAGGGCTATGGACTACCTTAGTTGCATTTAAAGCATCTTCAATCCTCAGTTGCTTATCTTTCAACTCAATTACAGTTTGTGCTCCCACCTGTAATAGTAGATAAAGCAACATGAAGTTGTATTCTATGGAATCTTCACATCTTCAATACGAGGTGGCATCTCTCAGATATTTATTACCTGGAGAATTGCAATGCCTCCTGACAACCTTGAAATTCTTTCATTCAATGTTTTCCTGCATGACTTCTCCCCAGTGTTCTGCAGGAAATTTAGGAAAAGTGCATTGACATCATCTAAATTAGCCATCACCTCTTCGTTGAGGTGAAACTTTAATTTGGATGTAAGATCTCACTGAGGCGGAAAGAAACACAATATTACTGGCATGCAACTGGCAATTCTATTCATAGACAGCTACAACCAGACGGAAACTGGAAAATCTAGGATGAACTATGGTGCTATAAATTTGGCTGAAATACCTCAACAAGATTGCGCAGTTGGGAAACCCTAGAATCAACAGCTGCCTGAGTGCTTCCATCTGTAACTATCAATGTTGAGTCTTTTGTTATCACGACCTTGGTAGCAGAGCCCAATACCTCCTCGCCAGCATTTTCTAGTGTCACCCCTGCATCATCTCTGATAACAGTGCCTGCAAAGCCATCGCTACGTAAGGGTGCATAACAAAAACAAGGAACCCTGTGCAAGCTAAAGCAAACACAACTATGAACTATTGAAATTTATTCTCATTTTTCAAAAGATTTTCTCTATTTGACAACTGATCAGATAAGTTAAAGCCAAGATAATATGGATTCTAGTATCCACACAAAAAAAGGGATAATATGGACTATGGAAGTCTGATGATGTCATAAATAAGAGGTACAATTGAAGACAAAGTTTTTCTTCACTTGCTTTTTCCTCTTTCTACCACAAGTTAGGATGAGCCACAAAAATGTTCAATTTTTAATATAAGGGTGAAATATATTAGTTTTTAACATTAGGTGCTACTTAAGGGATTAGAACATGGGACCTTCAGGTTTAAGACCAGTGGTAGAAACACTAGACCAAGCCCTTGTTAAGATGCCACTAATTCACACAAGTCCTTGCAGCCGCACATATTCCACATCTCAATTTTATGCATATTGTTAAAATCAGTATGTTCATGATAAAGGCTTGTGTTATTACCTCCGGTCAGGACAGCAATGTCGTCTAAGTAATGGCTTTTGAGCTCACCAAAGGCGGGTGCCTTAATTACTGCTGCCTTCAGCACACCCCGGAGTTTGTTTCTTATAATGGGAGCCAAGGCTTCCTGCTCGACATTCTCTGCAACTATTACAATAGGGAGCTTCTCTTTAACTGCATTGTCCAAAATTTTAACATCGCCTTTGGATTTGTGATTATTTTGTCAACCAAAAGCAACTGCAACCAAACAATTTCAGACTCTGGTTACTACACGAATGGGACATTCACGATCAATGAGAAGTTTCCAATCTCCTACCTTGCAATCATGAAACTCCACTATCCTTTTCCTTCGATCAGTTGCAAAGTAATGAGACATATATCCGCGATTGAATTGCATTCCTTTCACGATTTGTAAACAATTCTCGGTACTTTTTCCTTGTTCAATTGTAACAACACCTTTCTTTCCCACTTGCTGAAGAGCATCAGCAATCATGTTTCCTACTGCATAGTCATTCCCTGCACCAACTGCAGCAACATCAGCAAGCTCATTATCCTCAACCTGCAATAAACGAAGATTAGTCTTAGAACTTTTACATGCATAAGCACTTTCTGTCTCTAATCACCTCCCAGAGTGGAAATTGGACACGGTGAGCAATTGCACCTCTCTTGACATGGATCTGAGTTCCAAAACAAGGGCTGTTGCAGTCTTCTCAATCCCGCGAGCAATTTGGATAGGGTTCAAACCGGCTGCAATCACCTATAAAGGAGGGAACGTTCAACATAAGCGGTTAGCACATCAGTTAGCTGGGGTGCAGAGGTCTATTTCAACCATTTTAGAGCCAGCTAGAAGCCAGAGAGAGTAAATCACTTGAAGCTATATCAGTCTCTTGAAGAAACAATGATTGCATTCAGTTTTCTCACTTTCACCCCTCGGTGATCAGACCACGGGCGAGGATTATAGATGTAGTGGAGCCATCACCAGCAAGATCATTTGTTTTAGCACCAGCTTGCCTTATCAGCTTCACCCCAACATTTTCTAGAGGATCCTCCAATTCAATCTGAAACAGAACATACCAATTCATCGGGAAAGGCAGCGCCCAGCTATATCACAAGCATTCAGAAATGCACAACATAATGTATTGGATTCCCATGCAAATTCAGGACCCATTTGTCACCCAAACCTGTTTGAGGACAGTTTCTCCATCATTGACAATCTTGGGAGGCCCATACTTATTCTGCAACACCACATTCCTTCCTTTAGGACCCAGAGTAACCCCAACCAGCTCTGCCACCAGTTCCAACCCTGCCTGATGATGAAACCCTATCAAAACAAATTAAGCAAAATTCTAGAGAGAAGCCAAATTTTCCAACTGGGTTTTCAAAGTTCCAGTAACCAGAAGCTTCTTCGTGGTGGACCCATCATGGTTGAAATGCAGCTCCTTCGCCATGGCCCTTGTGTTCAGAGCGGGAGAAAGTGATGCACAGGGTATCCTCCTTCTGGGCCGTTTGGCTTTGTTGAATGATACGGCAGAAATTGGGGACTGAATGGACGCCATTGTTGGAGTAAAGATTTTCCACGAATTTTCTTTATTTTGAGGTCGTGCACAATTCTGAAGGATAAGGGAGAGGGTGCCGCCGGCGAGTCGGGTTAATTCAACTTCTATTCGAAAAAGAAAAAGTAAAACTCATAGTCCTAGTAGCGTCAACAAAACTAGGGTGTTTAAAGGATTGGTTAACGTGGTAACCATATTAACCGGTAGCGTTCGGTTAATTTGGTTTTAGATATGGCAATCGGGTTGGGTTGGGTAATTTCGGGTTGGAGACTTCGGTTATGGGTCGGATCATGTTTGGTTGGCTGATTTCGGGTCAAATATTGACCCAACCCATTCGGTTTCGGGGTCGGGTTACAGGTCATTTCGGGTTATGAGCGTTCTCAGAAACTAGGGGTGTTCAAATGGTTACCATGGTAATAACCAAACCAATTAAGCCTAAATTTCATTAACCATGGAATAAAATATCTTAACCAAACCGTCCAAATTAACACGAAAACCAAATTAACCAAACCAAAGTTTAATTGGTTTGGTTAATCGGATAATTTGAATTAACCAAATAACATAACATTACATGAAAACAATTATCCTGTTAATGAATAAAACATAACCATATGTTGTTACAATCATAAACTATCATTATATATAAGCAATAATAATAAGACTAACCATCCATGATTATCATCGCCATTCGAGTTAATACATCATTTATCATCTATGCACATAAATAATAACTTACAACAAACCAGTTAACATAAATACATGCTTATACCCTCATATGGAAGTTAAAGCTCTCCTACAAAACACTTAAACTATACATAGTATTGTACCTAATCCTAAAGTCTAGTAGTTGTCCAAAATGTTTTGGTTTAGTAAATAGGTAGACCATTTAATTTTTGACTCATAATGTTTTGGTTTGTTGTGCACATGGAAATAAAATAGGGAATCACTAAAGTTTGGTTTGGTTGGTTGCATGGAAGTATGAATAATTTTGTATATTAGGTGTATCATTAATTGGTTAGTAGTATTGAAACCAAACCAAACCACCTAAACCAAATAAGCTAAATTATTTAATCAAACCAAACTAAATCAATTATCCAAATTAACCAAACCAAATAGACATGGCAAATTACAACCCGACCCGTTGACCCGACCCGAAACCGCCCGAAAACTAGAATTTTTTTAACCCGAAATCCGAATGACCCGAACCCGATAACTCGTGATTTTTTGGGTCGGGTTGAGTGGGTTAGCGGGTTGACCCGTTAGACCCGTTCCATTTTATATATTACTGTCAAAATGATAAAATCACTCATAAATTGGTGAGATGTTTAAAAAAAATCTCAAGGATTTGAATGACATGCTTTGGATTTTAAGGATTATCAAATATCATGTGTTTCTTGTATTAGTATTACTCTTGTGATTGTTTTTTGACTATTTGCACAATTTGTATTTCATTTCAATAGTTTGGGAGGATTTGATAATATGTTAATTGACATGTGTTAGGTAAACTATTGTCATGCATATTTGAAAATTTGAGTTCTATAAGAAAATATGAAGCATGTTTGATATTGTTTCTGATAGGGGTGTTCAAACGGTGTGGTTACCATGGTAACCGTTTTAACCAGTACTATTTGGATAATTTGGTTTGGTTAATTTGGATAATTGGTTTGGTTTGGTTAAAGTTCTTAGCTTGTTTGGTTTAGGTGGTTTGCTTTGGTTTCAGACACTCCTAACCAGCCAAACCAAAATAACCAGATAAATAATTAGTCATATATCTAATATATACACATACTTAATACTTTGAATAACCACTCAAGAATTAAACATTCATCCCTTTTAGACTCATAAAATATAAAGCTTGATATCGTTCCTATAATGTATATTTGTATATGTAGAGTGTAGACCACAACATATAAACGCCTAGTTTAGATAAATCTCATACATTATGTTGGATGAAAACTTGAAAGCAAGGTCCTTTTCAGCCTATGAAAATTGCTAAAAGACTAAGTCAATTCAAACAAACACAACAATTCATTAACCCATACCATTGTGATAAATTTTTGTTAGGTGAATACTTCTCTACTAATCGTAAGATAATTGTCTTAGTTGCATGTATTTATGTTAAGGGTCAACTATAATTATATGTTGATGGTTATGTTTTATTCATTATATAAATTTTGAATTGATAAATTAATCGAAAACTTTCTCACTTAATGATAATGTGATTTTATATTGGTTAAGCTGGTTAACCAATTAACCAAACTGATTAAAGTTTAGTTTGGTTAATTTGTTGTTGTATTAGTTTGGACGGTTTGTTTATGATATTATATTCCATGGTTAATGAAATTTAGCCTTATTTGGTTTGGTAATAACCATGGTAACCATTTGAACACCCTAGCTAATACTGAAGTGGGCAATAGACAAACAAACACATATCCATTGTATATACTAAGCAGGAAAACCCATGAGCTTTATGACTTTAAACAAGTAATCACAATGCACAGAATCAAAAGCTTTCATTATATCTACATTAATGGTTGATCTAGATGAAAACGTTTGCTTATTACATCCACTGACAAGTTCTTGAGAAAGCAAAATATTATCCATTATTCTTCTTCCCGGAGTAAATGCAGTTTGGTTAGGGCTTATAACTAGATGCATAAACTCTTTCAACCTATTAGCCAACAACTTTGAGACCCCTTTATAAAGAATATTCACACATGAAATTCACCGAAAATCCTTTAGGATTTCCGCATTAGGAACTTTTGAAATCAAGGAAACTGTAGTAGCGTTTATACCACTCAACATACGACAAGAGACAAAGAAATCCAGAATACCTGTTATGATGTCCTCTCAAATAATATGCCAAGTGCACTTATAGAAACCCTCCGAGAAACCATCAGGTCCAGGGGCTTTTGAGCTATTAAGATGGAAGAACACCTCCTTTATATCCTCTGACTGGATAGGAGCACACAATAGCTGGATTGCCTCTGCAGAAAGACGCCCTTTAATAAGTGGTCTAAGCAATTCTTCATCTGCCTGCACCTCCTCATTCACTCTGCCAAAGAGCTTTTGATAGAAATTAACCACTTCATCAGCAATATGCTCCACCTCTACCACCTCCTCACCTGTTTCTGTAACCAGTTCCGAATAGCCTTTTTTGAATTATTAATTTTTACAACTTGATGGAAAAAATGGAGTGCCCTTGTACCCTTTAGTCAACCAATTAACTCTCGATTTCTTCCAATAAAAGCTCTCCTCCTGTTGCTTAATCACATCATATTGCTTCTGCATTTCATCTCGTGCTTTGAAAGTATCATCATCAGGAGAGTCAAGAGATTGATGTACGAGTGTCATTAATGGTTGCTCTATCATTTAACCTGCTCATTGATGTTACCAAATACATCCATATTTAATTGACGAAGGGTCTTCTTAACAACCTTAAGCTTGCAGTGTACTATGTACCAAGGACAACCCATAACAGGAATACTCCATGCTTGCTCCTCCCTTGGCTCGCAACCAAGCACATCATCACCACACCAACAATGACGCTGATGTGAGGAAGGCGCCACGACGAGGATGTCGTGAATTTGGTGGGGAAGAATGTCATGGGAAGATTCTAGAAGACTCTAGAATGATGTAGGTACATGCATGCATCTTCATATTTATGCACCAACGTACATGCATACACTTTATTTATTATGATTCATGTATGGGTGACCTTATTAATTATCATTCATGTATGGGGCTAGTTCATGTATGGTGAGACTTCTAGGTTCATTCATTAATGATGGCCTACATACATTGTACCTAGTGGAGAGGATGCCTATATAAGCATCCATCTCCCCCACTTTTCATTTTTCCAGAAATCGACAGCTTTCCATCTCTAGAGTTTTCTCCCAACTTGAGAGTTTGAGTGAATGCGAGCTAGGCTGACTTAGTGCTTTAACGAGACTTGAGTGCTAAGTGCCTCACGACCAAGAGTTGGTCTGTGACAGCGGCCGGTGGAGGACTCACGATCTCAAAGCGTTGGGACATGCACAACGAGGACCCTGCAACTGCTGCCCGGTGGGGAGATATGCTCCGTTGGCTGATGACACCGCCGTCGTTGGGGATGAAGGTGTTTGACTTCTTCAATAATTGTTGCTAATTATTAGCTAAAAATTAATTTAGTATCAGGGTTGGGAACAATACATCATGGTCGAGGCCATGCCTGGTCTCTCGCTGTGTAATTTTTGTATTTGCTTCAGACTTAGACGCTTGAGAGAGAGAGAGAGTAATGCATAAGAGGGTGAGGGAATGAAGATTTCGATTTACGAATTACGAACGTGATTAACTTAATAGAAAGGTAAAAACCCCCCGGTGAGAAAACAGGCTGCACACACCCGTCAGGTCGACCGTTACAAGGTTACCGGGTTGAAGGTCATACGGTGTCGTTTTTCTTTGATTTGTAAAATGCGCCTATTTTTAGTTTTTCCTCTTCGCCTGACCCTGTTTTTTGAATTCTAAGTTGAACATGTGAATATGGATGATATATATTGATGCTATTACTCATATGTTGGATGGGATTTGATATAATTTATAAATCTATTAACAATATAATGATTTTTTCATATATTCGGGCTAAACCAGACTAAAGCGAGTGAACCGTTAATCCTCAACCCATTTGCTCGACAGGGCCAATGCACTAAATTGGGTTGACAACCTTGCTTACTAGTCTCTCTCTCGTGCCCCTACAGAAAATACGTTTTTCTGTTTCCATGTTCATGTGGATAGGATCTCACATCTCGAGCCCAAATCAACTGCATATTAGCTTGATCTTGCCATAGTTAGTAGGTGTATGGATGTGGGCGAATAATTAGCGATTCGATATCGATCTACTAGCATATAATTCAAATTAAAGTGGGTGGTTAATGTGAGTGGATCGTGGATTGAAAATTTTCTCCTCAAACCTCTCCCAGTTCTTCTCCTCCTTCCTCCTACACACGATCATCGCTGCCAAATCCAACCTCGTCGTTGACCTTTTTTCCCTT